TTGTATAACATATAGATACAATAACACTAAATATTTTTGTTTAATGATTAATGTAAACTTACAAAATTGTAAGTGTTCACACAATATTTTTAGGATCTTATTTGTAAAATCCATGTAAAAAGCATCTAAAGAATTGTCGTGTTTTTGAATTCGTTTTTGGATTTTAAAATCTTGGATTCCCGTATATGTAGAAAACACATCGCCTCAAGAATTTATGTCCCTTAATTATAAATTTCTTATGCCGTTTTCGAGTGAATGCTCTCAGATTGCTCTGAGAGCAAATCATATGTTCGAGTGGCAATCACGGGCAACTCTCAAACAGATTTTGGATCTACTCTGTTTGAATAAAAAAGCATATTAATTGCTGAAAAATTACAAAAATACATGTTTTACGAACTCATATGACCATAGAATTAACTCCTTTTATCCATTAACAATTTTTAATATAAAAGATTTATCTTTACTCTAGTATAAAACCATAAACGTAACAAAATTTGTGATTTTTCATTTAAAATGGTCTGTTAGCTGTTTTTCGACTTTATCGACGGAACGCTACATTAACGAGTTCGCGCCGTCGAAAAAAACGCTCGAGTTCTGTTCTAACCTGCTCTGACTCCGGGGAGCAGGGCAACGCAGAGCAGTCAAAACAAATGGCGGCACCGATTGATCAATTACGTGGATTACGTGTAATCGAAATTATGCAGGATTTGTTGTCATCAGACAGTTCTGATGATGACGATGATATTATTGATGTACAATTATTGAGGAATAATGCCAGAAGACGCCGATGGGGTGAAGTTCCCAAAGTTGAAAATTTTATTCGCGATGTAGTTGACAAGTATTCAGAGCCAGAAGTACGTATATGTTTATGCTACTTTAATATAACAATTACAAATTTAGGAATAATATCAATAATATTAATTTATTCTTACAGTTTAAAAGTGATTTCCGAGTATTTCGTGAAACATGTAATTATTTAATTGAATTGTTCGAACAAAGTGTATATTGCCCCCGAGGAGCACCTTTTGGCGGTGTTGAAGCGAAAAGTGCCGAAGAACACATTCTGTATTATTTATGGTAAGAATTAATAGATAAGATATTGGTAAAATAAATTCAATGTGTTTATAATGCTTGGGTAACACTAGGCCTTCTGCTACCCTGGCTGATTGTTTTACCTCGACATATATATCGAGTTCACGTGGAATACGTCAATATAGGGAGCTTTCCAGCAAGCGACACAAATACACAAGTCGACATAAGCATCGTTTTATCTTTCTTTTTTGGCAATGAGTAAAAGATAAAACAATACTTGTGTCGACTTGTATCGCTTGCTAGAAAGCTCCATCCGATAATGTGCCTACTTCACACTCTGTTGACACTCACCTAAAAATATTTTTATTAAGGTCTGAGTAGTTAAAAATGAAGATTTTTAGCACCAGAAGAAAAGAATAAAGTAACAGAAATTATGGAATAATTGATTCCATAAATTAACGACTTAAATTTTATTTAAAATATTTTTAGTATATAATATATTTAGTTAAATATGTAAATAACTTGCTTCGTAAGTTTTTGATACAATTAATAGGAATTGTTTGTCAATTTATGGAAAATATATTTTTGTTTATTTATCCTTGTTTTCAGGAGTCTCCAATGTTCATTTACACCTACTGTACTAAATATAAATATTTGAAGTTGAGTGCGTAAACTATGTGTTTTGACGTACTTCCAGTGTAAACAAATCCACCAGGACACTGCTCAATTTTTGTTTTATTTGTTAACAATTGAACAATTATTTTGTTCTATAGGTTTGCAGGTAACAAAGCAGTTTACCGGACCGTAGCTCATATTTTTGGAATTAGTATATCGACAGCACACAAGATGATAGATAGTGTAATAAATTTTTTAACTGACGAATTGGGCCCATCAGTAATAAAATTTCCAAGTACTGAGGAAGAAAAACAACAAAATGCAGAAGAATTCGAGCAGGTAATTTTTTTTTTTCAAATTTTTGCTTAAATTTAATTTTTTTATTTTACAATTAAAATAACTGTTTTTTTGATTAATTTCTTGTTCGAAAAGATTGCAGGGTTTCCAGGAGTAGTTGGATGCATTGATGGAACATTCATCAACATTCGTACACCTATCCATAAAATTAAATCAACTTATGTCAATCGTCACGATATCACTTCATTAACTTTGCAAGCAATATGTGATGCGAACCAAAAGTTTTTGGATGTCTTCACCGGAGTACCGGGCAAGATCCACGATGCAAAAACATTTTCATTATCATTTATTCGACCTAAAGTGCTGCAGATGGGACGAGACTTTCATATACTGGGAGATGCCGCATATCCAATAAATGAAAACGTCATGACGCCATATCGAGAGTATAGAGATTTGACAGAAGAACAACGAGAATTTAACTACCGATTTTGTCGTACAAGAGTTAAAATTGAAAATGCTTTCGGGCTCCTGAAACAAAGGTGGAGGCAGTTGATACGGACGGATATGTGGCGTGTTTTGAAAACATCAAAATTTATAATTTCATGTTGCGTGATGCACAATTTATGCATTGAACGGAATGATTTTCTAAATGAGTTAGAAAATAATGCAAGAAACGACCAAGAAAATTTTGTAAATCATGACGACAATGCTAGACTTGGTCAGCTGAAACGTGATGAATTGGCTAGACAATTTGTATAAAAATTGACTCAATCTCTACTACTAAACTTAACACAAAATGATGACATAATTAATATTGACATTGTAAAAGAAAATGTATTGTGAATTGTAAAGAATATATAACGATTGAATATATGGACCAATTAAAAACATTTATTTAAAAAAGTCTCTTTACACTTTTTTATTTATGATGATTTCTTCATCTTATTCAAATTTAACAAATACAACTTTTAATTTGTTTCTTCCTTCATAATAGTTTAATTGGACATAGCAATTAAATTATTTGCAAAAACTTATAGAAACTTATATATGGTCTTTATCAAGTATTATTTTACCATAAAATAGCAAATTTTAGTTATAAAAACTTCAAAAAATAAATTAAAGGTTAAGAGTCGAAATATTTTAAAAAAATATCACAGGATACATTAAAAACATCACAGCACAAAATATCACAATATAAATCCGACATGGCACTGAAAAATAATTAGTCTTTCAATTAGTTTTTAAGTTTTAAGTACAATTGCTTCCAGTGCGATCATTTTCTAGTGCCACGCTTCCTTTATACAGCATCAAAATATCAAAAAAAAATATCACAGTTTTTGGTATATGGATATTTTATAGCTTTGTGAATTTTGAACATTTGAAAAAATGTATCCTGTGATATTTAATTAATGATATTTTGATGTAACTCTAGAAAAGAAATTTCAAGTTTGTATAACAATTCAAAAATTTTCATAAAAAATTTGACAAGTTTACATTATCCTTATTATGTAGATAAATAGATATTAGAAAAACTCTAAGTTATAATAACGAGATAATATACTATAATATATATTATAATATGAAATGTTATAACTAAAAGTTGACTCCTCAAGTTTACTCCTTCTTACTCAGGAATTCTCGCAACAATGCAAGTTTTTCTTCATGCCTACGTTGCCTGTTGGCTTCCCTCCTTTCCTGCGATTCACGAAATGCAGTAATAAGTGGATCTTCTGTTTTCTTTTTCTTGTTATCCTGACGAGATTGTTCTGCTAGACACTTTTGAGAGTTGTTTTTTAAAACTTTAATGCTACCAGGACTCACAAGAACTTCAGGTTTAATACTATCATCCATACTTTTAATTTCATCAATCTCGTCTTGGTATGGAACTTCCACGGGATCATTACCTGATTGTTTATTATGCTTTACAGCACCAGTCTTACGTTTTAAGACATTTTTGAAACGAGATTCGCATTGAATTCCGCTTACGTAAATTTTTAACTCGTTTGATATATCCGTAGCAATACATTCCCACATCAATTTTTTGTTTCTGAATTTTTTCATTGGTCCAACTTTCACCACGTTCTCGTTGTATAGAGCAAGCATTTTCTTCGTCTGACCATCAGTCCATTTTATTGAAGCAGTGGCTTTGTTACTTGTTCCTGGAA